CCCCGCCGTTAAAGGGCCAGCGCGGCCGCCCCCCCGAGGGGCGGAGGGGTTGGCTCCGGCCCGGGCTGTGCCCCCGGCCCCCCCGGCAGCTGGGGCGGGGGGAGAATCCTACAAGGGTTGGGGTGGGAAGGGGCCTTAAGGATCAGCTCGTGTCCCCCCCCGGGCAGGGACACCTCCCGCTCCACCAGGTTGTTCAAAGTTTGGTGGCAGAATGGACAGAGCCATCTCCATCCTGCCAGCTTCAGGGCTTTCCCCGCATTTGCTTTCTATAGCTTTGTTTATTTATTTATATATTTTTTTAATTTTATTTTTTTTTTCTCCTTGGGATACCCAACTACCTCCAAGGCTCAGCCGGGAAGGATTGGGGAGGGCAATGCTAAGAACAAAGCCCGGCTCTCCCGCCCGCAGAAATACACAGCCAGCCCTCCACACACACAAAATCATTTACATGATTGCTCCGGCTGCTCTCCCAGCACCCTCTTACAGGGTGTATTCCTGCCCCCGAGGATGTAACGCGGGCCACTTGAGATTTTTCTTTCACAGGCACGCGGAGCCGGGTCACTTCGGACTCCGCAGTTCACAGTCAAAAAGCTCCCCCCCCCAATCTGCCCTTCACCCACCCGGCCCTGCAATCACTTCCAGATGGGCAGATGCTCATGAAGGGCCCCTTTGATTTCAAAAGGTCTCTCTGCAAACACAAAGGTCACCGTGGCAGCAGGATCAGGGCCTCAGAAAAAGAGCTTTGCGAGGAGGAGCACAGAAATAAATAGGAAAAAACCATTTAAACCCACACTTCCAGGCAGAGAGATCGCTCTTGTCCAAGTAGTGCTTTTTGTGGGACCTGACGCAAGTTTTAACCCTAAATTTTCACAGCCTCCCTCAAACAAATTCTCTCCTTGAAATACTTTTCAGGACAATAGCAGTGCTAAAAACGAGAGCCGAGGAGAAGAAAAAGTTAAGAGGTGCAGACAGGGGAGAAAAGAAATGGCTCAGCTCAGACACAAAAAGAGAGGGAGGGCCCACAAGGTAGAAACCTCCAGGAAGACAGTTCCTCATCACAAAAGCTGCAAAGGAGAAGGCCCCGCTCACAGTGTATTTATTCAGAGGAGATTATGCAAAAAAGACAGGAGGACCCCAGCAGGGGCTGGAAGGAAACGTGCCATGAGGTCAGTGGGCACAAATAACCTTTGGAAGGCTTCCAGTCCAAAGGGCCATACTCGCTTCTCGGCCCAAATTGGGAATCAGCTCCCCTGTTGCACTAGGGTTACTTCAGGTCCATCAGCTTGCAGCCAAACCCCGTGTACAGCATGGTCCTGTGCCTCTGCTGGGGGATGAAGGATGGAGGGAGATAAGGCAGCGCTGCCCACAGCTCCACAGGTTTGTGAGAACATGCTCTCCCAGCTGCAGGTTTCAGCAGTGCCTGGATCCCGGGGTGTGAGAGGTAATTCAGGACTATCCTTCGCTGTGCTGCTAAGCTGTAAAGTTGGCTTGGAGTTCAGGGCTATTGTTTTTCTCCCGGTACCTCCTAGAGCAAAGGAAATCAGAAAGCAGGCTGTCTCAGGGAGCGCTTTCCAAGGCTCAGCACCTTGCCAGGAATGCTGTACCTCCTGCAGATTGCAATTCGAGCAGGGCATGACTGAACCTGGAATCTGACCTGGGAACGGTAGGTTTGATCCCAGTCCCAAAATGAATGGACACACAGGCAAGAAGTACTTGGGGAGGGGATTCAGCACGCTTGCAGGCAACAACTGAACAGCAAGCAGCTCTTTACAGAGAAGAGGAAAGTAATTGGGGAGCACAGGAGAGAATCATAGAATCATCTAGGTTGGAAGAGACCCTTGGGATCATCGAGTCCAACCATCTACCCTACTCTACAAAGTCCTCCCCTACACCATGTCCCTCAGCACAGGTCGGGGAGGTCAGACGTCTGCGGCAGGACCTCGAACATGGAGCCATCCACCCCTGCGGGGGAAAGCAGAGAGACACGGCTCAGGGCGCTGACGAAAGGCAAGGCCGAGGGAGAGAGCCACCACAGAGAGAGCTGCTCGCTGTGCACAGTCTCCAGGACAGCCCTGGAGAACCAGAGTGCACTGTTTGGACAGGAATCATAGAATCATAGAATCATTCAGGTTGGAAGAGACCCTTGGGATCATCGAGTCCAACCATCTCCCCTACTCTACAAAGTCCTCCCCTACACCATATCCCTCAGTACCGCATCTAAACGTCCCTTAAACACAGCCAGGGATGGTGACTCCACCACCTCCCTGGGCAGCCTGTTCCAATGCCCTATCACTCTTTTGGTGAAAAATTCTTTCCTAATGTTCAATCTAAAGCTACCCTGTTGGAGCTTGAAGCCATTCCCTCTCGTTCTGTCACTAATTACCTGTGAGGAGACTGAAAGCGAAAGGGACAGACACTGCGGGTCAGCATCCCAGCGAGAGACACTGAACAGGTTAGTGGAGAATTACTGAAGAGCTCAAATACTTTGGGACAGGTTTGAGTGGCCGAACCAACTCTTCACTGGTATCAGCCTCTTCTACCTTTGCTGTTTGCTAATATGGGACAGCTCTTCATACCCTCAGTCTACTTCTGAAGGGTAGGAAAGACGAAACATGCCTTAGAGTTCAGTGTTCCCATTGCAGGAGCCGCTTCTGAGTTGCATTTAGTTTTACTGAATGTTGATGGTCTGAGCCAAGAGTTTCTGGTATGTGTGCACGCTGCAGCCTTTTTACTGGGAGGAAGCTTCCATTAAATACCTCGGCCATGTTTGAGAACAAGATTAGGGAAGAAAATATGCTGTTAAGAGAAAACACTCTCTGCTGAGCTTTGTTGTGAAGTTCCAGCGGGGCAGTGCGTGGGAGCAGGGGATTACAGTCTGACATGGGGCTCGCCTCGGTCCCTTAGATGCACCCTTTGCCATCCCTGGGGAAACCAAATAACGTTTGGCCAAGCTACAAACCTTCATTCCCTCTTCCTCACCTCAAAACTTCATTTACAGAAGCTCAGCGTCACATCAGCAGCTCGGAAAACCAGGAAGGGATCAGTGCCCACTAAGACCTGGACTCAAAGACAGCCTTTGCTGTAAAACCTTGGCAGGGAAGGGAAAAGTAGAAGCAGAGAGTGTGAGAAGTCCTATAGCATCCCCCACGAGGCTCTGTGGGTAAACTGCTTGCAAGAGCCCTGCCTTTCCTGCATGCAGATTTACCAGGCAAACAAAAATGTTTGCAGCCTCCCTGTCTTCACCACTTACCACCCACTTGCTGTTGCATGCGTGCTGTCGGGCTGGGTGATACATAAATACCTGCACCATCCTCTCCCTTCATCCATTCCAGGAAAAAAATCTGCCCTTGTTGCCCCCACCCCCAAAAAATCCTTTCCCCTCTTAGTCAAATGCTGCAGCTCTCTCGTACGCAGTCTAGGATGCTTCCTGACCAACCCCCTGAACACAGGAGCATTTAAGACCAAAAAGAATGAAGGCCCTTTCCCCTTGCTGTTTCACCCCAATGTGAGTAATCAGTCAATACTCTGGAGGCCATTAGCATCTGAAGTTTATCCTCCCATGGAAGAGAGAGCAATAATTACTGCTACTTTCTCATCAACTTACAGTAAGGCTCTGTGGCCAGCTTTCTTATTATGAGCATGAAACCAAGGTATTTAAAACACCACAACAACAGCACCACCAACACATCAAAGAGTGAGGATGTTTGTTGTGAATGAGCTGCTTATTCTAAGGAACAAAATCTTGGTAACTCAGCGGGGAGCTGGGCAGTGGGGAAGAGCAGCGTGCTCCTCTCACAATAACAACTTCTCTTCAGAAGAGAACTGCTCTGCTGCCAGCAACTCCCCTGCGTCCCTCACCTTCGGAGGGGCAAGAGACACACTTCTTCCCATCCCCTGTGGCAGAAGAGCAGGGAGAAAGCGATCCCTGCCTGTGTTGGGCGACTGGAGGGCTGCAGGGGGCTTTTGTGCAGGTGCAGCACCACACCTCGTCCAGATCTCAGCTGATCTCAGTCCCACACAACTCTGCTGTTGCAGAAACAAGCTTTATCACTGCCAGCCTGGTTCCCCTCAGACTGATGAATCAACACCCACAGTGGTTCCCAAGAAGTTCTAGGTCCTCTACGTTTTTTCTGCTTCCTCAAAAAGGCCTCTGGTTGGCCATTTCATGTTGCCTTTACCTCTAGCATCATGCCCTCTGTTGAACAGAGATTCAGGATGGAAGCCCTGGCTGCCAGGGAGGGCATGCGTCCAGGCAGGGCTCCCTCAGAAGGTCTGTTCCATACCTAAGAGCAACAACAAGCCTTAA